CTGACGAATGCGGCACCTTAGCTCATGAAAAAGGACTTAAATCTGTTGGTTTTTATGCTTGCCCAGCATCAGGACCAGCCCGTTGCCACGAAGCAGGACAATACCACTCTGCTGCATGGGGGCGTGAAACTATTGCTCCTTGGAAAAGCTGAGACCCATACATAAGCCTCCTTGGTTATGTTAAAACAGTGTATCATCAGTAAAATTAATAGCCCTCAATACTCAATGTAATTCCCTGTATGAAAAGTAATTGATTTGACTCCAGGAACAACTGAAAGGGACGAATGTGGAAGGCGGCTTAAAAAGACATCTACAATGTCAAAAATTAGGCTAAGCATAAACTCAGCCTTTGCACAGTTAAGCATGTACTCAGCCTTTGCACAGTTAAAAAGTTCCCTTCCTGGAAACTGGCAACAGCATCTGCTGGCTAGGTTAAACTATTTAACAGCTTTTTTTTTGCTTCTGTAAACCCTGCTAGCATTGCTTGAAAAGTACCTAGGCCTCCAGGATGTTGCGGTTTGACGCACTTGGAAAGTCCCACTGTGGTTTTGCCCCATTTAAGCAAGCCCCTACAGCAAAGGGAGGCCCTTGCTGTGGGACTGGCATGTCCAGCAGGCAAGTGGCCGCCAGCCTGGCTCTTGGCTAATAAACCTCTCCTTTTTATAACTTGTACTTTTGGTGTCAGTGTCTGTGAATTAAGCACTCAGTTCCTATTTCACTATGAGAGGAATAAAATTCACATATCAATATTAAACTTGAATGTAAACGGCCTAAATTATCCATTTAAAAGATATGGAGTGGCAAGTTGGATTAAAAAAAGACAAAGCAGGACATAATGATAAAGGTTTCAGCTCCAAAAGGAGATTTAACAGTCCTAAATATAAACACACCCAACATCAGAGGACCTAGATTTATAAAATAAATACTATCAGACCTAAAAAAAGAGACAGACAGCCATACAGTAATAGTGGGGAACTTCAACATCCCACTGACAGCACTAGACAGATCATCATGGTAGCAAACTAGCAAACTCTACACTCAAGTCAGACCCTTAACCAAATGGACCTAATAGACATCTACAGAATACACAACCCAACAACACAGGATATACATTTTTCTCATGTACACAATGAACATTCTCTAAAGTTGACCACATGCTTGGTCATAAAACAAATCTCAGTAAATTCAAACAAATCAAGCATTTTCTTGATCCCACAGTGGAATAAAATTAGAAATAAGAGAAACTCTCAAAACCACACAAGCACATGGAAACTAAACAATTCATTCCGAAATGACTTTGGGGTTTACAATGAAATTAAGGCAGAAAGCCAAAACAAATGTTTTGAAACAACTGAAAATAGAGACAATATACCAAAACCTCTAGGATACAGCAAAATCAGTGTCAACAGGAAAGTTTATAATACCAAATGCCTACATCAAAAAGATAGATCTCAAATTAACAACTTAACATCACACCTAAAGGAACTAGAAAAACCAGAATAAACTAAACTCAAAGCTAGCAAAAAAGAAATAACTAAGATCAAAATAGAACTAAGTGAAATTGAGACTAAAAAATCCATACAAAGTATCAGCAAAATGAAAAGTTGGTTCTTTGAAAGGATAAATAAGATTGATAGACTGCTAGCTACATTAACAGAGATCAATCCAAATATGCACTACCAAAAACGACAAACGTGACATTAGAACTGATATCACATAAATACAAAGTGTCTTCAAATGCTACTATGAACATCCCTACACACACAAACTAGAAAACCTAGAGGGATTTAAATAAATTCCTGGAAACATACAACCTCCCAAGACTGAACCGGGAAGAAACTGAAATCCTTAACAGATCAATAACAAGTTACAAAACTGAACCAGTAATAAAAAATCTACCAGTCAAAAAGAAGCCCTGGACCAGACAGATTCACAGGTGAATTCTACCAGATGTACAAGGAACAGCTGGTACCAATCTTACTGAAACTATTTCAAAAAAATCAAATAGGATGGATTCCTCCCAAACTCATTTATAAAACCAGTGTCATTCAGACACCATAATCTGGCAAAGGCACAACAACAAAAAAGGAAAACTATAGGCCAATATCCCTGATGAACATAGACACAAAAATCTTCAACAAAATGTTAGCAAACCAAATCCCACAGCACATCGAAAAGATAATTCATCACAATGAAGTGGGTTTCATTCCGTGGATGCAAGGACGGTTCAATATATGCAAATCAATAAAGATGATTCACCATATAAACAGAATTTAAAACAAAAAAAGCACAGGATTTATGACTAAGACCTCAAAAGCAAATACAACAAAAGCAAAAATTGACAAATGGGACTTAATTAAAGAGCTTCTGCACAGCAAAACAAAAAACCGACGGAGTAAACAAGCAACCTACAGAATGAGAGAAAACATTTGCAAACTATGCATCTGACAAAGGACTCATAATCCAGAGTCTATAAGGAACTCAAACAAATCAACAAGAAAAAACAAATAGCCCCCTTAAAAAGTGGGCAAAGGTGCAGTGGCCACATCTGTAATCCCAGCACGTTGGGAGGTGAAGGCAAGAGGATTGCCTGAGTCCAGGGGTTCAAGACCATCCTGAGCAACTTTGCAAGACCTCATCTTTACAATAAACCAAAAAATTAGCCAGGCATGGTGGTGCGTGTCTATAGTTCCAGCTATTTGGAAGGCTGAGGCAGAAGGATTCACCCGAGTCCAGCAAGTCAAGGCTGCAGTGGCTGTGAACGTGCCACTGACCTCCAGCCTGGGCAACAGAAACTCCAACTCAAAAAAAAAAAAAAAAAAAAAAAGAAAAGAAAAGAAAAAGAAACAAGCTACCTTTAAAGGACATGCTGATTACAAGAGACACACTTAAAATATGAGAACAAAACAATGAAAGAGGATAGAAAAAGATATAAAATGCAAAAACTAATCAAAAGACAGCTGGTATAGTTAAATTAATAGAAAATAAAGTTGAAGCCGGCCTCGGTGGCTCAGCCTGTAATGCTGTACCTTTGGGAGGCTGAGGTGAGTGTATTGCCTGAGCCCGCGGGTTCGAGACCCACCTGGGCAGCGAGACCTCATCTCTATAATAAATCAAAAAATCAGCCGGGCGTGGTAGCACACGCCTGTAATTCCGGCTACTCGGAAGGTTGAGGCGGAAGGATCACCGGAGCCCAGCAGGCAAGGCTGTGGTGGCTGGGAGCGGCCACTGCACTCCAGTCTGGGCGACCGAGTGAGACTCCAACTCAAAAAAAAAAAAAAAAGAAAATACAGTTGAAACATTAGAAATAGAGGCATTTTACAAGGTCATGAAAGAAAAAAGAAAAAGCCTGATACTTTCTCAGATTAAAGAAGACTAAAGAGACATGACAACTATATGCAATATATAATTCTGAAATAGATCCTGGATTCAGGAAAAAAAAAAACTTCAAAGGACATAAAAGTCAATCCATCAAGAAGATGGATAACAATCCTAAATCTGGATATACCAGTTATACAGTTTTAAGATATACAGGCCGGGTTCAGTGGCTCAGCCTGTAATCCCAGCACTTTGGGAGGCCGAGGTGAATAGAGTGCCTGAGCCCATGGGTTCAAGATCAGCCCAGGCAACTAGGCGAACCCTCATATCTATAATAAATCAAAAATTAACCAGGCGTGGTAGCGCATGACTGTAGTTCCGACTACTTGGAAGGCTGAGGTGGAAGGATCACCAGAGCCCAGCAGGTCGATGCTGAGGTGGCCATGAGTGTACCACTGCCCTCCAACCTGGGCGATGGAGTGAGACTCTGACTCAAAAAAAAAAAAAAAAAAAAGCTGACAGAAATAAAAGGAGAAACAGACAAACTCACAATCACAGTAGACTTGAACACACCTCTACCAACGGCTGACAGAGTAAGACCAAATAATGAAAATACCAGCAATTTGAACAATGCGGTGAACAAACGTGAACTGATATACACAGGGTATTGTTCTCAACAATGACAAATACAAATCCTTTCAAAGTGCTGATGGAACATTAAATCAAACTGAACATGTGCTGGTTTTACATAAGTTAAAGGACCGAAAACATTCACAGTAGAATTAAGTTGAAACTACTAACTGGGAAAGTACAAGATATACCGGTAACTCCTTGCCATGCAGAAAGCACAGAAGTGTTTTTAAAAAGATAGGAGGAGGCCAGGCATGAGTGGCTCACGTCTGTAATACCAGTGTCTGGGAGGCCAAAGAGGGAGGATGACTTGAGCCCAGGAGTTTGAGACCAGTCTGGGCAACATAGCAAGATCTCATCTCTACCAAAAAAATAAAATAAAAATTAACCAGGCATGGTGGTGCATGCTTGTAGTCCCAGCTACTTGGGAAGCAGAGGCAGAAGGATCACTTGAGCCCAGGAGATAGGGCCGTGATGACTCATGATGGTGATGCTATACTCTATCCTGGGTGACAGAGTGAGACTTTGACTCAAAAAAAAAAAAGACAACTGGACCTGTAAAAAGAACGTGGGATGGGGGGATGCTTCAAGGGACTCCTACCAGCCAAATGTGGGACAATTTAGGCATCAAAACAAATATAGTAACAGATTTTAACCCACTGGATAAAAATGAGACTCCACGACTCCAGTCTAATTCATTAATTAACAAGTGGGACAGAAGGAAAGATCTACCCTGGAGTAACAACTAATACATGTAGAAGGAACAATGTCGTCAGGAAATCACTATTTGCATCCATGGCATGACGGCCTTATTACCAGTCAATAACTGCCAACTGACATTACGTTAGAGCGACCGTACAATCTTCCAGGGCTTCAGAAATTACCTTTATTCTCACTGCAGAAACCTAGAAAAATTAAATACCCAAAATAGCCAAAGAAACGTAGACACATTAAAAAACACACACTTAAACACACAGTGACCTGAGCTGAAATGGAGAGTGAGCCCTGGGACAGACGTTCCGCCTCTCCCAAAGCAGAGGCGAAACTCTCACCTGGGCGCAGCAGATGAACGCGATCGAGAGCGTCAGCAGGAAGACTGAGGACACGACCACGTCCACGGAACGCTGGGGGCCCCGTCTCTGCAGGGGAAGACGCACATGTGCGTGTGTTTCGGTCACTGTCACACCTTGAAGTTCACTCATTAGAATGAAAATAAACATTTTCAAGAAGTTTCTGACACAGGACTGGAGCATATTTTGGACATCCCTTTTAAGTACTGAATCCATGTCTTTCCAAATTAAGGGGTGACTGATTCACTGACATATATTCAGCTGGAATCTTTCCCAGAGAATCAGAAAAAGATGCAATATTTAATTATCACTCTCCCCTAGGAAATGTCCATTTTCTTTTCCATTCAAAGCTCTTCTTTACCAACCCCTACCGGCCTTGCAGGTAGGTTACACCCAAGTTGGTGTCTGGCAATCTGTCAGCCACTGAGACAATCTGCCCGAAACCCAGGACTCCACTGCCTGCCTTGCTGTTGCCAGAAACTTCAGTGCACATCTTCTAGTATATATCCTATTGTCCATCAGAAAAAACTCACCTTTAAGAAGGAACGCAGTGACAACCATATTTTAATGTTCTCCACCTTTTTGAGTCTGAAATGAGGTATTTCATATTTCCTAGCTTTCCTGGCAGAAGTAATATGGCTGAAGAGTTTTGCAAATAAAAATCTCTAGAAAAGGTTTAGGGGGAAAAAAATGACAAAATGAAATGTACACGTGTCTCTATGTGTGTGTGCATATTAAATGTCAACAATATTCCTAACAGACAAAAAAAAAAAAAACCAAAACACGTTAGCAAGAGTGAAATTCTAATCAGAGATCGCTAAAATGGGCAGTCAAAAAAAAATTTCATTAACAGCTCATCACCCTGTTGCTTCCAAAGCATGTAATAATAGATGGCTTCAC